AGAGGTAATCCAAGCATGTTTTAGAAAATGTAAAAACAAATAACACCTAAAACTTTGGATCAAATTCTTAGACAGTTTCTTCTAAGGAAGAGACGGCTCCTTTTCAGAGGGTGTGCAAAACTGAAAAAAGGGAAGCTGTGGTTCGGAGTAGAGGCCGGGCATGATTCAGATCTGGGCATCAGGAGCACAGAAAGGGGAGTGACGTGGAGCTCAGGCATCTAGAGACAGGTGGTGGGCAAAGGTTCGGAACCGGAGCTAGAAGTACACCCAACATTCAGAGGAATGTCTCCTGCCCAGACTCCCCTCTGTCCCTCGGTGAAGGGCCCTGTGCCAAGCTCTGCCGGCTCGCCAGCAGCCTGCCAGGAAGAGGTGCTCACCCCGACAAGGAAGCACATCTGTGTGTTTTGTCTGTAATTGCTTGACCAGTCTTGTCTGAGGCGCCCTGTCCACGTGGGGCCTCCTCCCGCCCCGACGAGCCCTTCCTGCTGCCTCCCCGCCACCACCCCAGGTGCACATGTGGGCACACAGGACCTTTTGGACACACTGGCTCCGTGCCCAGCAGGAAATACTGAAGTTGCCACACCCCAGGTAAACTGTGCAACACATTTCTTTCATTCCGTTTGAAAGGGGGAATTAAATTGAGAAATGAAGGCAAACCCAAACCTGGCGTGCAAAGTGTTGACCTTTGTTTTGAATACACTTAAAGAGGCTCAAACCAGACTGTGTGGTCTCCAGGCTGCCTGAGTCCCCTCCAGCTCCTCGCTAGCGTGATACGGAGCCTTGAAGAGATGAGCAGCGGGGCCGGGGGGGCGGGGGGCAGGAGTTTCGGGCTGCTGGGACCGTGGGTGCCATGGAGTCACATTGTGCGGCAGCAGGTGGTCCCTGAGGCAGCGAGCTGATGGGCTCTACGGCCATGAGAGGCGTCCTTGGGGTTCAGGAGGCCCCGTTGACCTGCTCTCGAGCATGCTGTGCCCACCCGTGGGCACATCTCAACAAGTCTGCCCTTCTCATCTCTATCTTCACCAGCTGGAAGGAGATGATTTCCTTGATAATATGTGAAGTTGGGTTGTTTTGTGGGAATGTAAGTGCTGACTTACGTTATCAGTTGGGCTAGGCCAGGCTTCAGTAACAAATAAGCTCGCAATCTCAGTGCCTTAACATGATGAAGATTTATGTCCCAATCGTGCCAAGTCCAACGCTGGTGGGGCAACCCTCTTGCACCTCCAAGGTTACCATGGCAGGTGGAGCGAGCTAAGGTTAATAGAAGATGCTCTTAAAGGGCCAGATCTGGGAATGTTCTCCATCTCCTCCCCACTCATTCTAGCTGCCTGAATTCAGATGTGTGATCCCCAACCTAAGTGCAAGGGAGGCAGTGGGGAGGTCTTCCTGGGTGGTTGGAGAGAGGTCACAGTGTGGTGAACTTTGTGACATCATCTCTGCCATACTTAGGATCCAACCTAGGGAAACGGCCCTGAGGTGCTTATCATTAGGAAGAGCCTTGCAGGTGAATCTTGGGAAACGGGAGCCTAAGCTGTGGGGTCCGGCTAACCCTGGACATGCAGAGATTCTGTTCTCCTTCGGAGCCATCCTTGGAGGTTCCAGGTCTGACCTACTGGGAAGATAAGACATTTCCTTACCCTGGTACCTACACAGAATTTCCAGGTGGAAGACTCAAGATTTTTGTGTCTGAGCTTCTTCCTTCACACAAACATGTTTGTCTCTTCTGGAAACATTCAGCAATTAAGAAGAAATAAACATTTGTTTATTCATTCAGCAAATGTATACTGAATACCCTTCTATCCCGGACACTGTGTTAGGTGCTAAGGTCACAAAGACAATAAGCCAGGAACTGTTCTCAAGGTAGCAAATATACTCAGGCACTGATGCTGGGATGGGGTGGTGGAGGCCAGGTGTCCAGGGGGATAGAGGGGGGGCCCTCTTGCCTGATCCAGAGGAGGTGGGTCCATGCAGCCTCCTAGAAGAGTCAGTGCCTGAGCTGAGTCATAACAGACATGCAGGGCTTGGCCGTGGAAAGAGTGGGAATCCATTCCTGGCAAAGTAGCAACAGGGGCTTGAACCCCAAGCTGAGAGAGGGCACGATGCCTTCAGAAACTGTAAGGTGTTTGGGATGGCCGGGCATTGCGCGAAGAGTGAATGGTGATGCTAGAATCCTCAGGTGTCTCCTGGGTCACACTGAGAAGTCTGGACCTTATTCTGAAGGATAGGATTTAAAGCAGGAGAGTAAAGTATGGTGATCAGATTTGTGCTTTTAAAAAAAATCACAAGGTGGGGGGCACCTGGGGTGCGCAGTCGGTTAAGCATATAACTCTTTGTTTCGGCTCAGGTTATTATCTCAGGGTTGTGAGATCGAGCCCCGCATCAGGCTCCATGCTCAGCCTGGAGTCAGCTCAAGACTCTCTCTGCCTCCGCCTCTCCTCCCACCCCCGCCAGTGCACACTCTTTCTCTCTTTCTCTGTCTCTCAAATAAATAAATCTTTAAAAACTAAAAAAGTCACAAGGGCTGTTGGGTAGAGAATGGGTAAAAAGGGCAAGACTGGAGCAAGGAGATGTGGAAATAATCTATGTGGGACACAATGAGTCGGGGTGGTGGATGTGCAGAGGGAGGGGGGCAGATCAGGGAAGCAGCTGGGGCGACAGAATCAAAGACCACACTGTTGAATATATGAATGGAGATGGGGAAATGGGCTTGCAGAGCAGACAGGACTTCCTGTCTGCTAGAAGGGATTCCTGAGAATGAGTGGGCAAAAGAGCAGTGAGTTAATTCTGGGGCATCCGGTACTGAGGTACCTGTGGGGCAGCCAGTACTGAGGTACCTGTGGGGC